AAAAAAAAAAAAAAAAAAAAAACGAACAAAAATCCCATATCAAGCTGCCTTGATTCTATATGATTGGGGCTCCTCATCTCATTTCACAAATCTGAATGAAATGCTGACCATTTGAATATGGTAGATAGAAGCCAACAAAAACTTTGCACACTGTCTCTACTTAAATCAGTGGTAAACCATTAGCTCAATAACAACAGAAAGGATACAGCTTGACGGAGATCATGTCTGGCTTTTTAATTTGATCTTGCACACCTATCTCTTCCAGCCAAGAAAAGCTTTCCTCTTCATCTTCATCGCTGGCCGCTGGCTCCCTAGGAGACTGCTGGTTAGAAGCATATTTACAGAGAGGGCGCTCTGACAGCTCCCTCAGAAACTGGGGACTGTGGAAAGCCTACATAAGCACATACTCCTCAGACTCCAGGTTTGCTTCTCGTCCTTTCTTCTTGTGGCCACTTTCTTCTAGCAAAGGCAGAGAGAATTCAACACCTGCATCAGGAAAGTAAACATAACTCAGTTTTCTTCAATTACCCACGAGTGTCCTACTGCTGGGGACACAGATGTGGCTCTCTACTAACCAGGACTCATCTTTATCCTTCCCCCCCTTTCCTGATCCATAATGGATGGGTTAACCCAGTTTTAAAATTATTAAAGAGGAAGGTTAGAGAATTGGAAATGTCAGAGAACTGAGAACAGGTGAGATGGTTTAGTGGGTGGAGTTCACTGTCTAGCACTCACGTGGTGAAGAAATGAGCTGTCCTAACCTCCACGTGTGTGTACCACAGTATGTGTGTACCCACAGAAACACATATGCACACAAAATAAATACATAAATGTTAAAATGTTTAAAAAAAGCAAAATCAATCAAAAGACAGTGAATTTGGGGACCTGTTATGTGCATCATTTCAGAGATCAGAAAAAGCAGCACAACTGACTTCCAGTCACACTTAAGAGACAGCTTTACTAATAGGACAGAAAAAAGAACTCTGAAAAAGATGAACTAAGTCTCTTAAAATAATATTGATAACCAATTTGTAAAAGACAAAAAGTTTTTTTTTTAAAAAAAAAAAAACATCTTATGTGTATGGGTGCTTATGTTTGTGTACCTCTGTGTATCTGGTGCCTAGAGGCCAGCAGAGGGCACTAGATCTCCTGGAACTGAAATTTCAGACAGTGTTAGCCACCATGTGGGTGCTGGGAATCAAACCCAGAGCCTGTGTAAGAGCAGCTACCTCTCCAGTCCCCAAAGTTCAGCATTTGGGGCAAGAGGGACCCCCAACTTTAAATCTAAACTATTACCTTCATTTTTCATAGCTTCTCTTAAGCCTCTAGTTGTAGGAGATACAAGTGCTGTGACCACATCACTTCCTGCTAATCCTGCTGCCCGGAACAGGACAGTAAACTGATAGGTACAGACATAGAAAAAGGGGCAAAGCTTTGTCTTCAGCAGATTATACAAAGAAGTAAAACTCACAGACCTACAAAGCAAAACAAGGTTTTTACATGTTAAAACATTTTAAACTTAATTCTGACAAGTAGATAAAAGCCAACATAAGTTTTATGAGTAATGAATGGAGCTTCTGCAGCTGCTTGAGACTTGTCTGAGGACGGCACCTGGCATGGGTGCTGCTGCTGACTCTCCCGTACTGTGTGGGTAGGGGGAACACAGGTCATTCAAGCAAAACTCCTGACTGGCTGCAGACTCTGAGCCACTTCTATGGAAAAGCATCAACAGACAGGGAGAGGCACTGAAGGCTTAGACCTGTCTATGTACTTATCCGATACAGACGTCAGATATTTGACAGGGATAAAGCTGGGAAAAAAGCAAAAGAGTTTGCGCGGGTCATTACCAGCCCCTGATGAAGTCCAGAAGCCCCTGATGAAGTCCGTTAGTCATACTAGAGAATCCTGCTACTGCATGTTACCTCTGGAATGCACACGTCTTCTGGTCTTACCAGTCACTCAGTAGAGTTTGTTGCAGAGTTTCATCATTTGACCATGGACTGGGCTTTCCAGCCATCTTCTTATCAGCTCCAATTCGAGGGAAAAGAGGCAGCCATGAAAAGGCAGGGTGAAGCCAGTAGACAAGGGTTTGCTGGAAGGCACAACGGAGCTCAGTGGAGAGCTTGGGATCCTAGACTCCAGTGCAGAGAGTGGGCATTGTTACTCATCAGAAAGATAAAAGTTCACGAGAGACACTGATATATCATTCAATCTAATTTTAAAAGATTAGCTGGGAGTAGTGGCTGAACACCATTAATAGGAGGAAGGCAGATCTCTGTGAGGCCAGCCTGGTCTACAGTGAGCCCCAGAAAAGCCAGAGCTATGTGGAGACCTTGTCTTAAACAATCCCTCCCCACAAAAAATATTTTTATTTTGGTTTTTCGAGACAAGTGTTTCTCTGTGTAACTGCTCTGGTGGTCCTGGAACTCACTCTGCAGACCAGGCTGGCCTTGAACTCTGCCTCCCACCAGTTTTATTTTTAACAGTATGTGTGCCTGCAGTTTGAACACAGGCTCTCTGAAAAGTGTTCCCTTAACCACTGAGCCATCTTTTCAGCCCAGTCTAAGAATTTTTAATGCTTTTCATGAGGAAGCATCAGCAACTGTCATGGAGGTTAAAATGTAGTCTCTCTTTCTCTCTGGACAGCACACAGTATGTGGAACCATGCATCAGAAAAAGCACATCTGCACAGACGGGCCTCCCGTCGCTGTCTTTCCTGAGGCATTCAGATGATGGGACAAGGGGTGTGTGAAGAGAAAGCAGTGTGGATTTTAAGGATAGCTCCTTCTACACTTAGCCAGAAACACCAACATAGACTAGTGGGCTCAGAAGTTATAAGAACCCGACACCCATACAACAAGTTGGGATTTTCCTGTGAATGCCTTTAACCGTAGCACTGAGGAGGGTAGAGACAGGAGCACTTGGGCTTGCTGGTCATCAGGCTAGCTAAAATATTTGAGTTCCAGACTCATAGACACCCTGCCGAAATAGAGAAGACGACACAGGACTATCGCCTTTGGCCTGAGTGAGCACGCACTCTCACTTGCACACACACACACACACACACACACACATACGCGCGCGCGCGCCTTCCCACCCAGGCTACTTCACTTCAGACTTACCTCTACACTCTGGGGTAAAGTGACTTCTGTGGCCCTACAATGCTGGATAAGACCTTGGGCTTCTTCCTGTGCTTTCAAATGATCTGCCCAGGAAAAGGGTTGAGAGGAGGTGAAAAGGAGTCGGGTTTTAATACTCCAGTCCGCAGGTAACTCAGCACCTTCTGAAGAAGTCGTATCTGATTCAGAGAATGGTACATGTTGACTCTTAGAAGACAATGAACACAAAAATTAGAATTTCCAGAAAATTCTTTTAATACAAAGATCATAGTTATTCTACTCTTGATCACTAAATGTCAAAATTTAGGGATGGTCTAAAATTAAAAAAATATTCCATCTCTGAACTCTGAAAGGAGGTAAATGAAGCTACTGAGAGAGGACTCCGGCCAGGGACTCTGCAGGTAATGGCACCTGCCTAAGCCTGAGCGTCTGAGCTGGGAGGACAAAACTGGCTCCTGAGACCAAGCAATGCATAAACTAAGTGAGTAACAAGCTCAGGAAGGAGGGGTCAATCTCACCAGGTAAACAACAAGCTGGGGGGGAGGGGTCACGTCTCACTTTTTAGTTTTACAGTTCTATCTAGTACTGCAGACACGAAGGAGAAATGTCCTAGGATTTAACAAGTATGAATCACAGTGACTAGGACCAAGGGTTAAGCAACCTTGGTAGAGCTAAAATGGGTTTAAAAAACATCTCCTGAAGTATTAAAAAAAAAAAAAAAGAAGGAAGGAAGGAAGGAAGGAGGGAAGGAAGGAAGGACAACCCACTGTTCAAGTCCATATGCTCCACATCCTAAGGATTCCCTCAGGGAGCAGCCTAATAAAATATCCTGCCAGGGGAGTTGTCTCTGGAAGGCTGTGTGGAAGCCGGAATGGGTCCTGTGAGCTCTTTCAGTCTGTTCCCATTAGGACAAACTATAACGTGTGGGAGCCACCAACGGAGCGCAGACTGCTCGCTCAACATGCAGGACGCACACAGCAGGCTTTGGCCACCACAGCCCTACTTATTATCACCACACTAGTATGGACACGACCCCTCCAACTTCTGTTTTTGATTTGAAACCAGGGTCTCCTGTGTTCCAGGCCTCAACTGTCTGCGTATCTGAGGATGATCTCAAACTTTTGACAGTCTTGCTTTCACTGCCATCATTTATGTGAGGCTGGGGCTGCATCCCCGAGAGGTCCCTGCATGCTGGGCAAGCAGTGTACAGACCAAGGAATAGTCCCAGACTTCAGGTTTGTCAGTGAAACTAAGTTTCCAAGCGAAATGCCATTGAGAAGTGTTCCTTAGAACAGACATTTCAATCATATTTAAGAAGCAGTACCTGGGCTAGGCCATCAAAATGGCTCAGCAGGTAGAGGCACTTGCCTCTGAGCTAGACTGACTACCTGAGTTCAACCCAGGTATCCCACACGGAGAAAGGACTGACCTCCAAATACACAACTACGGCACACACAACAAACGCAGCTTTAAAAAGTACCTGCGACAGTTCGGTGACAGTTCTTTCATGAGACACTTCCTCCCACGGCAAATTATTTTCTCCATTAGAATCTAAAAGCTGAGGTTAAAAAAAATAAGTTGTCTTTAAAACTTAAGCGATGAGGGAACTTGCTTTACATACAGAAGGCCTCACCTGGCACCCCAGTCTCTGAGAGTCGGGACTCAAATCCATATATACTACCAACGTTTTTTCCCCCCACCTCAGGGGGAAGGGACAGACTGACACATTTAATAACTGATAATTCATCAATCTTAGACCAAAAGAGATAAACGCTTGTAAATTCTGACCCGATTCATCCTCAACAGTCCTCCATGTCCACATTTATTTCGAGTGCTCGAGAAAAAGGAGGACCTGAAGGAAGGTGAGAAGTCAGATTCTTGTGCCTGCCCATGCGAGCTGCCTTGCAGGATGGGGTGTTCTGAGGACTTTACGAGCTATCTTCCCGTGTGGCTTCCAGGGCAGCCCCTCACCCCCACCCCAGAACACCGGGCTGCGGCGGCTGTTCGCGCCCATTCCCACCCCTGACTACCGGCTGCCCGGTGCGGAGACTCACCAAGCCCGGAGCTCCCTGCGGACCCCGAGACGGCTGCTCGCGAGCCTCGTTGGCGACCCGCGGCCGGTTGTCCAGGCGGGCGAAAGGGTTCCTGCGGGCGACGGTCGCGGCGCCGCCTCTGCCGCCCGAGCTCGGGAAGGAGCGCAGGGGCAGCCCGGCCGCAAGCGCCGCGCGGCGGGGCGTGGGCTCCGGCAGTGCGGAAGGCACGGCGGCACTGTGGTTCCGAGATCTTTTCCGGCGGAGCCGCACAATCTCTGGCGGCCTCTTGAAGCTGGGCGAGTAGCCGGGAACGGACACCGCCATGGCGCAGCGCGGAGGAGTCCCCGCAGTCCTGCCGGCGCTTCCCGAGCGCCCCGGCCCCGCGCTGCTCGCGGACTGGATGGCCCCAAGGCCCCGCCCCACCGCGGGCCCGCCCCGTTGGAGCATGCGCGCTTGGCCGCCCCACCCCGCCCAACTGATTTGTCGGTGGCCGCTTCCGGCCGGGAGCGTACCACCAGCAATTCGGCCGCGAGGAGGGGTGTCACCGAGAAAACGTCACCAGCGCGCATCACCCCGGAGGGCACGAATAGGGGTCGCCTTTACAGCAGCGGGGACGGCGTCAGCCCCGGCTACGGAGCCCGAGTGCAATCAAACAGCACACTTGAACTGTGGTGATGGGCAGTTCAAGTGCCCAGAGACGCGGCAGTGTCATTCTGAGAGAGGCGGTGAGGGCCGAGGCCTTGCTGTATCCCGCTGCTCTGAGCACCCACAGAGCTTCAAGCTAGACTAAGCCAACTCTTCCATCCTTGTCCCCCGTGCCCGGCCACCCCAGGCCTCTATGCAAATGCTATGCCACTGTAGCAGGACCAGGTACTATGATTCTGTATGACCCTGGAGAAATTCGGAGTGAATGAGTATTTAAAAACAAATTTTAAATGCCAATGGATTACTCTGAAATCGGAAAATACACTCAAATGCTAAAATAATGGCAGCAAAGGCTTGTTAAGAAAGGTGTTGAGAATGGAGTTGATACAAAATCAAATAACATTTTCATGGTATAGCAAAAGCTTGTGAGGATGTACTGACAGGATAGTGTGGCTTTTGCTGAAAGCAGTTTTCTTTATGGAAAGAATTTCATAGCAGAGGCAAATGTATAGCTACAATAACAAAGGTTTTTGGTACATCCCTTTCAGATGTTAAAAAAGACCTGGATTGTTTGCACATTAATTTTGCAAGTATTTTTCAAATATGTCAAATAACCAAACATCTTATTATGGTAGGAAAACAGGCTTAAAAATAGAAAAACTTGTTTGATCTTCCTTGATTTTTCTCAACAATTCCCAAAGAAAACTGGCTTCATAAACTGGTATGGGTGCATCCAACTGAGTTCTGAGAAAGAAAATTAAAATTGAACAACTTGCTTTTTTCTTTCTTGATTTTTCTGAACAACTTCCATGGAAGCTTTTGCCTCATACAGTGGAATGGGCTCATCAAGTAGTGGTCTGAGGAGGAAGAATGACATCAGAAATGTCAGGCACAGGCACGCAGAATACACAAGAGGCAGCAGCTCACACATTGGGCTAGAGTCTGACTGTACTCTAAATAATCCACACAGCTTGGTGGTGGTGCGTGCTGTTAGTCCAGTACTGGGGAGGCAGACGAATCTGAGTTCCAGACCAGCCTGAGTAAGTCAGCCATCAAAATAAATAAATGAAAATTAAAAAAAGAGAAATCCAAACAAAATTACAAACTTATCCATTAATATTTTTATGGTTCGAAAGAATCCTTTCCTTCCTCCTTCCTTGGAGACTTGGAACTCACTAGGCTGGCCTTGAACTCACAGAGATCCACCTGTTTTTTCCTCAGAAGTGCTGGCATTAAAGGCGTTTGCCACCACGTCTGTTTATTTATTTATTTAAGACCGGATCTGGCCAGTTAGATAGAACCCCTGATCCCTGCCTCATCCCTTCAGGGCTGTGAATACAGGTATGTTCCATAACATTCTGTTAAAACATTTAAGTTTGGAAAGATAAATATACTACTTTACTTTAAAGTGATACCAAACCCAATTAAAATAAACATGGTACTTTTTCCACTTGTCAAGCCATGAATGATTTCAATTTGTTTGGCAAGAGGGTTGAAGGAAAGGGAAATGGGAGATACAGACTAGAACTGTGGGAGATCCGTGGGACACTGGTGCACAACCAGACACACCCTGCTCAGTGTGAAAGAGCAGCTGTTTATCTAAGGTGAAGAAAACAGCGGCACTAGGCATACCCCAGAACTGGAATCAAACAGATGGCTACTTCTTGAGAACACAAAAGAACAATCAGGTTTTTGCATACCTGAAAACACCAGCTGATAACTTCTCCATCACCTCTCTTAGGATGCGTAACTGGAGGCTTGTTAAGGTGGCAGCTATTAGAGAGGGGTAAACACGGGATGCTTGCCTCATCGCTTTTATTTTTCTTGCTTGTACTTTGAAATTCAAAGTGGTATTACAGCAACTAGAAACTGTCAATCACTTCTAAAACAAAGAGATCTGAGGTGTTCCAGGAGCACAAGCTTCTAAAGACAAGTGTCAAGAGCAGCGACGGGCAGTAAGCAGTGACCGAGACTATCTATCCTCCAGGGGCGGTTAATGGAGTAATACATGGCTTTCATTCCTGCATTATGTGTGGTCTTCAGCACTTACATCTCTCACAGGAGGTAAACATATACCAGTTAATTTGCTGATATCAGGTCAAATTTGTTTGCATAAATTTCTTTATTTCAAAATTTGTTTCAAAAAGTATGGAGAAAAGCTAATTAATATGTATCTATTTATGGTAGTTTGAATGAAAAATGTCTCCCATTGGTTCTTGGTGCCTAGTTGGTTGTGTTCTGGAAGTTATGGAACCTTTAGTTGGAAGTACTTTGAGGGGGGTGGGCTTTGATGGTTTTATGGCCTCATCCCTGCTTCCTGTTCTGTTAACCCAGGTGCATGCTCCTGCTGTGACTCTACCTGGAACCATAAGCCAAAACAAGCCCTTCCTTTTGTAAGTTGCTTTTGATCATGGTTTTATTCATAGCATCAGAAAAGTCACTAATATACTATGCTACCAGCAATCAAAAGAATATCCACATGAAGAAAAACTAAACAGAAATAAGAAGACTCTAGAGAGACGGCTCATTAGTAAGATCACTTGCTGTGTTTGCAGAGGACCAGGTTCAGTTCCCAGCACTCAGTGGCAACTTACAAGTGTCTGTAACTTGAATTTCAGGGGACCTGACACCCTGGTCTCCTTGGGCACCAGATGCACAGACAACGTGCAGGCACTGACTCATATACAGACATATACACATTAGGCAAAAATAAAATAAAATAAAATCTAAAAAATCAAATTTCCAGTACTTGAATTTGTAAAATTCAAGTATAATAAGAGTTAAGTGTGCTACCTCTTAAGGTGCCATACAATGCCAGGTTAAAACAAAAGAAAATATTCTGCCTGTCTCATTACCTCCGATTCAGAACGAGTTAGACCCTGGGGTGTGATTGTGATTCTGTCTCTTGCTACATGTACCCTCTTCTCACAGTCTTTCCATCTGTGAAATGGGGCTACTTTACTCAGACCTCATAGACTTAATGCTTCAATAAATGTAGGTACCTGTCACTCTGTCAGAGGCGCTCCAGGAAAGACCACAGCTAGCTATAATCTCACTGTCGCAGTGGAAGAGTTTATGTGTAGAGTCCAAGCCAGCAATTCAAATTAGTAGGAAAAAGGATATAAAGGTATTTTCCCTGTTGTACGTTTGACAGATTCCAAACTTCATCATTAAGGAAAGCCACCGTCGCTCCCTTGAGGAAAAGGCAATGGCTGTCTGGAGGATCCAGCTTTGACAGGAAACAAAGACAAAACAACTACTATTACATTGAACAGTAGAAAGGTGCTCACACCAGAAAACCTTTAATGCAAATAAACATTGTAGAAGCCACAAACTCAGCTACAGCTTTAAGAGCCGTTTATTAACTGTTACATTTCCTTCCTATGTCATGACGAAAAAGCTAGGACAGGGCAGATGCAGGGTCATTTGGAATCTCGGGGATAAAATGGTGTGGCTTCTGGCTACTATCAGTCACCTTTGTATGTTGGAAAGTCTAGACTGGTATGTTAGATCATAGTATTTGTATATTAAATATGATACATATACTCAATTAGAAGTCTGTTAAAAATATAAGCTTGGGAGGCGATTCATTTATACACACATAGTAATATCAATTTGGGTTATTAAATTATGATATTATTTATAAATATTACAATTACTAAGTTACCCAAATTTTTAGGGCCCCAGAGATGGCTCAAGTTACCAATGTGCTTGCTGCACAAACATAGGGACCCGAGTTTGAATACCAGTACGCATGCAAAAGACCATGCAGCAGTGCGCATCTGTAATCTCACTGCTGGAAATGCAGAGACAGGAGGATATTTGGGTCTTGATGCCAGCCAGTCTAGCCAAACTGGCAAGCTCCAGGCACAACGAGAGATCCTCTTTCAGAAGGTAAGGTAGAGAATGACAGAGGGAGATTTGTTCATCTCTGGCCTCCCTTGCATGTATGTGTGCATCAACAGATAAAAATCCAGAGGCTACTGTGAACAATGAACTAAATACAATTATAACTCATTCTAACTGAATGGACTTCCCTGCCCAATAGAATTTGACCAGTATGCACTTAACATAGAAAAGACGCTACATTCCTTTAAACATAACTTATGACTGTTCTTTGCTAATGACATTCCCTTGGTGTAACAGCAAGGCTTTATTATTTCTGACAATACCTGAAGGTTTTCTTCTGTTGTTACCCAATGGCCTCCAACACCAAGAAGTGTGATGATGTCATGCTTATGTGGGAGTTGGAATTTTACAGCTGGTTCATCATCTTTACTATATAATCTCACTTACAAGTGAAGAGTTAAAAAAGAGAGAAAAGGTATATTTTATAAAAGTCTGACAAAATTTATTTTGCATATCAGTCTTTTTTATATAGCAAATAACATTTTTCTTAGTAAAAGGCAAACTCAGTTAATTTAAACTACAGCAAATGTACTCTAGACTTAATTAAAATTAAATGCAAACAAAATAAATTTTGATTTGGAAGCACGCAAGGTAATGTACTTATCTTATCTTATATATACATCTTAGCTATATCTTATGCTAATTCTAACAACCATAGCTTCATACAGTGGGAGAACGGCTGTCTCTTTAAAACACCGAGTCACACACACTGAAACACACACTAAAAAGTGACCACACTGAAGTACTATTCACTTCTATTGATGGTTTTTGAGTTCATTTCAAACCCTGGAAAACACATATTAGAGAGGAACACACACGATGGCTACAGTCGTACTCACAATAAAATACAAATACAACTGTTGTTCAGGAGTAATGGTGCCACCTAAATGTGCACAGATTAGGTGTGAGATAAATCCAAGTTAAATTAAAAACGTCCAAGAGAGTGAATGGTACATGCTTGTTTTCCCCAATAGAGGGTATAGAAGTCGCCCATCCTACAGAGATTGGCCACACAGTACAAGTGGCTCTGAAATGGGGGGCAGGTGTGTATTATGGGGACCAGAAGAGTATACTGATCATGGTGACATTCACCTTTTGCTGTTTAAGCTTCAGTGCCTAAGGCTTAAGAGTCAAGCTCCCTCTTCCAAGGACATTGAGGTTGGCAATCAAGTGAAGGAAATACACTTTAAATAGATGAGTTTTTAATTAAAAACAAACCCTTAAATGAGACTTCCAACTTAATGAATGCAGTAATAATTAGTTCCCAGTTATACCCTGTCTGCAAT